AGTATTAGTACTAGTAGTACTGGTAGCATAAGAAAAGTACTGGTAGCACTAGTAGTGCTGGTAGTACTAGTAATACTAGGAATCGTCGTCGTAGTCGTGGTGGTGCTGGTGCCGGTGCCGGTGCCTGTGCCGGTGCCGGTGCTGGTGCTGGTGGTTGTGACTAGTCGCCGTCGTCGTAGTTCGCATTTGCAATTGTAGTCGCAGTAGCAGCCGTAGTAATAGTAGTCGTCGTCGTCGTAGTAGTCGTCGTCGTCGTAGTAGTGCTACTAGCAGTACCAGTACCTGTACCAGCAGCAGTACCAGTAGCAGTAGTAGAGGTAGCAGGGGAGAGGTAGAGGGAGAGTAGAGGGAGAGGGAGCAGCAGCAAGCGGTTGAGAGTCGACAAGACCACCGAGAGCCTGGTCAAGATACGATGTGATGGCAGCCTGATCGAGGAGTTCGTGCCACTAGAGCCCGGAATGGTTTGACGCTGTGGACGATGGGGGACACGGACACAGGGTCATGGCGCCCGTTACGCCGGACTGGCCAACCCGCAGGGCACAAAACATGGCTGCAGACCCACGAGTTCATGGGGTGGGGGGAGATGGAAGCCAGCTTGGAAAATACGGAGCAAGTTGAAGTGGCGAGCACAAAGGCAGCAGAGGCGACGGATACAAAGGCAGCAGCGCCGCTGAGAACGCGTGTGAGAAGAGCATTGTAGGTCACCAGGTCGAAGACCTTTTTTTCGCTCCTGAGCCGGGCACCATGACGCCCAATGACCTTTTCAAGGGTAGCTTCGGCTACCCCATGATCCGAACTTTTTTCAAGCTTGGTGTTCGCTCCAGGGGTCCCATGATAAACATGTACACTTGGTTGAGACATTGAGCATCCGTGTTTCCTACCGCAGGGCTTGGGAGCTCGAGCGACTGCAGAGCCAAGGAAAAACGGTAGTGAGCGAGGCCTTAGGGCCTGCCTTTGTCGTGCGGCTGTGTGTGCCGCTTTCATGGTAGGCGGAGCTCCTGGAGAGGTCTAGGGGCCGATGGAGGAACACGTTCCTCTTCCGAGCAGTGGCAAGCAAGACGGCGACTACGAGGAGTTTTCTGTTACTGTGGCTGGCTGTTTGTGGTGGTAGCAATCAGTGCGTGAGACCCCTGGACGGCGCGATGGCCCAGAACTTCTGGTCTGAAGTTCCAAATTGGGACGGTGACCCAAACTCCTTCGAGCGCTTCGCCATTGCTTGCAAGTGGTATTCTTTTGGGCTGAAAGATAACGAGAGGCACCTGGCGGCAGCGCGGATCTGGAATAAACTCACGGGACCTGCCAAGGGAGTGGTGAGAAACCTCTCCCCGGAAGAGTTCGCGGGCCAGGACGGGGTGACTAAGCTTCTCGAAGTTCTTCGCGACAGCCCGCTCAGAAGCTGCCCATTCCGGACAGCTTTGCGAGACTGGAGAAATGGTCAAACTTTGGCAGGCGACAGCAAGAAACCGTGCCGCAACTTATAGTTCGCGAGGAGGAGTTGTTCACCGAACTCCAGGCTTCTCTTCGCAGGGCACGGACCACACCCACGATGACTTTTCGTGCCGACGGCTTGCCTTGGAAAGGAAAAGGAAGGGGACCAGCCGGTGGTGCCACCGAAGAGAAGGCCGAGAACATGGAGGAGCCCAACACGACTACATCCCCGCAGGCAAATGCAACTGGTGGTTCCCCGAGCGGCCGGCGAGCTTCGTCGGCGGAGCCGGCGGCGGAGCCTCCCGAAAGCGAGGCCCCTCTGAGTGGCTTTTTCGAAGATGAACTAAGAGGGTACCGTTTGCTGAAAGCCTGCCACCTTGGACACCACGAACGCCAACAGGTGCTCACGTTGACCAGAAACTCTACTGGGTTTCAGGCTATCAGACAGGCTCTGAGGAGCTTGTATGATGAAGGAATGGCGGACCAAACAACGTCTGAGACGGCCCCGCCACACTTGGTGGTCTGAAGCCGAGGCGGAAGTGCACTACGGGAATGGATGGGAGGACCCGTGGTACACGGGCTCGACCTATTACCAGGGCCCCTCCGAGGTGTTTGCCGAGGACCTTGGTGCTTTCGACCAGCACCCCGACTATGCCACCGAACAGGCCTACTACGACGAGGCCTCCGATTACCAGGGCGACCTGATCCACCACGACCAGGCCTACGATCCCTACTCATATGAGGACCCGACCTACCTGGCCGAGAACACCGAGGAAGTGATACCGGAGGACGAGGCAAACTTGATGAACGAGGAGAAGGAAGCCCATGCCATTGCCCAAGAAGCCGGGGGAACATTGGCACAGGCCCGAGCTGCTGTTGCAAAGGCTCGGGCTGCTCGTGGTTACTACCCTCTTGGTGGCAAGGAGACCTCGGGCAAAGGCAAGGGCGCCCAACAAAAGGGCAAGCAGCCAGGACCTTGCTTCATTTGCGGCCAGCCCGGACACCGTTTTGCCGAATGCCTTCGCCGTTTCGCTTCTGGAGGAGGCGGTTTTCCTAGCAAGGGCTCGGGCAAGAAAGGGCTAAAGGGCAAGGGCGGAAAGACCAAGACGAAAAGCTCCGATAAACCGGGCTTCTACTTCGAGGCCTATGCCCTGACCCGTGTCGGGAACGATGCCCCTGAGGATGTGCCGGTGCCTGCCGAGACCTTCGTGCTGTCGGTGGGCGACGCGGCGACCAACACGTCCTCCCAGGTGATTGTCGGACACCGGGGCCGTACTATGTGTCGGAAGAGTTCAACTACTTCCTGGGACGCTCTGGAGTGGGACACCTGGTGTCCCCGGCCGAAGCCCACTGGATGATGGGGCCCGAAGAAAGACTGATTCGCAAGCTGAAGTCGACAGCCGAACGTTTTTTGCGAGAAATCAGCTCTGTGACCCCTGAAGACGCCTTTCGGTTGGCCGTGGCCCACAACAACACCATACAGCCGAACACCGGTTTTGCACCTTTTCAGTGGAGCCGCGGCGGCCTGGTGGAAAGCATCCCCGTGGGCATTGACCCGGCCAAAGCCTTTGACAAGCTGCTCAAGCAACGAGAGACAGCCGGGATTGCCTATCGGAAAGCCCTGGCCGCCGAGCACCTGAGCAAGCTCAACAATTCTGTGGGCCGGCCAAGGACGAGCTATGAAGCCGGGTCTTTAGTATGCTCTGGAGAAACCGAAAGAACGCTGGAAAAGGAGCTTCGTGGTTTGCGAGGTCGGTTCTACGAGGACTTGGCGGGCGACAACCCTCACGCGGAGGCGCGCGAGGACACCGGCCAAGGAGAAGTTCGAGCTGCACCTCGTCCCCGGCGACCTGGTGACAAGGCCCCTGGCTAGTGCGAGTACATGTCAAGCCGCGGTTGGCGCTTTTTCTGCCAACCAAAACAAAAGGACAGACCATGCCCATAGGCCAAGACGAGCTGACGGGCGAGCGGGTGACCTTCGTGAGGACCACCGGGAATGCCCAGGCAATCCAGGACAACCTCAATGACGAGAACCCCGGCCGATGCCTCCCCGAGCAGTGGACCGGCGAGACACATTTCCGCATAAAGGAAAGCCACCCGCAAGGAAGACTTGGTGCAGGGAAAAGCGGCGAGCCTGCTTCTCTGGATGGAATCTAGTCCTGTACCTCATCAAGAACCAGCACCACTAAGAGCACAAGAACCGTCTCTGGGTCCCGAAGCTAGCAGTAGCAGTGGCGCACTAGTACCTCCAACACCTGTGTCTGCCATGCCTGGAACACCGGTGCCTCCTACTCCGATATCTGCGATGCCTGGTACTCTTGATCTGCCAGGCAAATTGGTGCCTGACACTCCACGTGGTGGTCCCCCCGAACCTGAACCTTCTGCCGGGTGTCCTGTGCACGAGTGTGTTCTACCTGGAGGGCATCAACTACCTCACCGCGATGCTGGCGGGAATGACATTGCTTATGACCGCCGCACCGACACGAAGATCCCCGTGGAGGAGTCCGGCGACGAGACGGAGGAGATCAGCTCCTCCTCTTCTGGGTCTGAACTTGAAGCTGACGAAGGAGGACAACCACGAGCCAAGCGCCCTAAACCGGCGGCTCCGGACCCAGATGCCTCCATTGGCTACGTGTTCGAAATCGACATGGGTGGCCGTGAGTGGAAAGCCCTGACCTCCCGGCCGAAGAGAGCTCATGTGTGGATGAGCAAACACCTCATGGAAAAGAGCCGGGAACACAACTGGAAAGAGTTGTCGCACCAGCAGAAGGAAGAGTTTGATCTTGCTCAAGCAAAAGAAATAGACAATGTGATCAAGACGGCAGCCCTTAGATCACTGATGAAAAGTGAGCTGGCAAACGTCTCCTATGACAGAGTGATGAAGATGAGGTGGGTGTTAACCACGAAATCTTCAGGGGCTGCCAAAGCAAGGCTGGTTATCTTAGGATATCAGTCACCGACCCTGTTGACAACGCAGAGTTCATCACCTACGCTTTCCCGTTTGGGAAAATTTCTTCTTCTTTCTGCAGTTGCAAATAACCGCTGGATGTTGGAATCAGCGGATGTGACGAGCGCGTTTTTGCAGGCGATGGCCAGTCTTGAGAAAGACGAACTTTACGTGTTCGCCCCTGCCGAACTTGTGGCAGCCTTCAGCAGCGACGGCAAGGACGACACCACGATCCTCAAGGTCGTTCGCGCCTTCTACGGCCTGGTGGACAGCCCGAGACGATGGCATGAGACTGTCACCAAGGTGCTGAAGGAACAAGGCTGGCGCCCCCTCCAGGCCGACCGCTGTTGCTATGTCCTGTTCGACGAGGATCCGAGGCAAGGACAACGTGGTGCGGGGAGGGAGCAAACGGAAAGCTTGACAAACTGGAAAAGTGTAAACAACTCACACTGTGTTTTACGGAAGATTTACGCTCTTCCCAAGTGAAAGCGGCACACACAGCCGCACGACAAAGGCAGGCCCTAAGGCCTCGCTCACTACCGTTTTTCCTTGGCTCTGCAGTCGCTCGAGCTCCCAAGCCCTGCGGTAGGAAACACGGATGCTCAATGTCTCAACCAAGTGTACATGTTTATCATGGGACCCCTGGAGCGAACAGCAGTCATACCCCTGAGATCATTGAGCAGTGAATCCTCCTCGGTGGGCTCTAGGGACGGTTCGTCCCAAGGTAAGGACTGCTCTTCAGAAAAATGCTGAAGCGCCTTCACAAAATTTACAGCCATCTCTTGAGAGATCCTTTCGTGCTCTTTCTTGTTCAACTTGCGGCCGGCGGTGAACTCGGGGTCGCAGACCAGACGCCATTCTTGTCGTTGAGAAAGAAGCTGAAGAAACACCTTTCTTGCCGAGGCCTTCGTCAGGGCGTCGGCGATCATCTCGGTTCCTGCCACCCATCGTAGAGTGGTGTTGCAGTGTTGCACGCCAGTGCTTGACTCACCGCCACCGTCAGCTCGTAGCCGGCCCTGGAACTTCTCAAACCGTGCAGTGCCGAGGTGTTCCTGACCATAGCGTCGTAGATGCCGCGGGAATCCATAACCAACACACCGTCGGTGTTGTCCCGCACCTGCTTGTCCAATTATCCACGAACAGGTTCAATGCCATGAATCTCCATCCACATTGCGCGGATCAGGTAAACCAAATCTTCACCAATGGTTATTGATTGCACTTCTGATCCATTGGATCCTAGAGATTCGCGCGGTGCTTTGGTGGACCGCCACGCCACCACATTGATGGCAACCCGCTCGCCAGCCAACAGCTGTCGGGGAGCTAAGGCTCCCACGATTCCCAAACTCAAACTTCTCATTTTCCCACAGTCCCCAAGTGAAAGCCGTCTCCAAGGACGCCCGGGCTGCCACGTAGGTCGGGAACTGGGTGTCACCGGCAATCAAAAAGTCGTCCACGTGTACTCCGGCAAGTTATTGTAACGTTTCCATAAATAATCATGAACTCATAAGTAATGTGTAAGCTTCCATAAAAGTGCTTATCCCTCGATATCCCTTGCACGCAGTCTCTCGCAGGACGTAGCAGCATCAATCAGCAAACAGCAGCAGTAGCAGCAGTAGCAGTAGCAATCAATAGTAGTCTAGTAGCAGTAGCGGCATGAGGAGTAGCAGTAGTAGTAGGAGGAGGAGTGGAGTAGGAGTAGGAGGAGCAGCAGCAGCCAGCAGCAGCAGCGACAGGGGTCGTCCTGTAGTGGTGGTGATCATAGGGGAGCCTTGTGTGCACAAAATGCAATGGTCCAGTCAGCTATTGAGGGCAAGTGGGAAGAATGTTGACAGAGAGGTTCCGCATGTGCACACAGAATCGTGCAAACAGGAGGATAAGGAGAAGGAGTCTGGAGCCGGGCACGAGAAGCAACATCAAGCTGGCGCAGTTCTCAGTTTGCCAGGCCAACACTTTTTCCGCAGACTGCTGAATGTGAGAAAGGGAAAGGATTGATGAGGTAGCAGTAGCGCCGCCTGATGCAGCATGCTCCAGTTTTTGACTTCACAAGGCCCGCGTGCTGCGGGCCGCGCTGAGGAGGTGTGGTTCTCGGAGCAGTTGCTGAGAGCGCCATCTAGAGGTAAAATAAAATAAACCAACGAATCAGTCAGCACCAGTGTGTCCCGATGCCTCGTTATTCTGCCAACTTAGACCCCAAACAAGCAACAGACTCTGGGAAATCCAAGCCCTAGGCACTACTCCGGCTCCAGTGAGCGCAAACTGCGCACCACACTGCGGCGGGAGCACCATTGGCACCCTAGAACACTCACGGCACTGTAGCAGGATTTGACATACTTCCACCCACAACACCCGGAAATACACACGATTCGTCAACCTCAGAAGCGCTCAAGTATGCCAAAGCATTGGGCTTTACAATAAATACGGTGTCCCGCCTCGAGCAGGACCCCAGAACAGGGCCCCAACGGAGAAAAGACAGCCCAGTCCAAGCCCATGTTGCAACTGCGCCGTTGGGGAAAATCCATGCGTCGGATTTAGGCTCCAAAAAAGCTCGACAAACAGGCTGAGTGCCTGACTGACGTCAAGGGGAAGCAAGTTAATGCCTGAGGTCCACTGAACATGATTGGCTTAGTAAGTCGCTGTAAAACAGAACATGTGGGAAACCTGGGCAACGGCAGTCCACCGGATGCTTGGTTGACCTGAATTTACCGGCATTGAGCTGCAGCTAAGGATCCTGGACGGAAAAGCAGGCCGGAACTGCCGCACAGTGTGCAAATCCAAGAAGGTTTTTTTTTGCGGTCTAAAGAAGCCCGGAAATCCGTTGTCACGTTGTTTGCAGGCCAGGTGCATCTGGCTCAACGCGTGGCACGGGGGCCAAGATACGCCGGCTATATGGCTGCACGCATTCGCCAACACAGACGGTAGCACTCGCAAATGAATCGAAAATAATCGAAACATGAAATGATGCTCGGAAAGCAGCATTCCTCAAACTTCACCAAGAAGGCGTGAGTCTGCGAATTTCCCAATTGAGAGTTACGGATTGGTTGCGACATCCATGAGTGCGACATGTGTTGCAAGCATAGAGCCTTAGTCAGATGAGACGCACGAGCCTTAGTCAGATGAGACGCACGTTCTCCGCCTGTTGGGGCGTGGCATGGCGTGACGCACATTTCGGAACAGAATCCCTCCGTGCCTGACATTGGTACTAAAATCGATGTTTTGATGCCGTCCCGTGTGCATTTCCTGACACGAGGAGGCGGAGATCCGGAAAAAACCTCGTAAGCTTGCAAATTTTATCGCTAACGCGAGGCCGCTGGCAACGGTAGTCGAGGCTAGTTTCGGGAGCCAAGTCGCGC